CTGATTTATACTTCTGCATCAAGCACATGTGTGCTCTGGCATATGCTCCGGCATATACTGACGCTGACGCGCACCTTTCAAAAAATGTAACTACACATCACAAACATAAAGAGAAAAAACTAAACTCTTGTGAATAAACTTGACACAGAGGAACACAAAAACCTACTGCCAGCTAACATTTTGGAAGTGTTATTGCAGAGCAACACAAACAGCAAGTAAAAAGTATTTGCACGGCAAGGCATGCGCTGTCGGACACAGTGATCGCTCGACACAGAAGTATAAACCAGCCTTAAGTCCTGATGGTAATTACAGTTTAATTGAAGTCCTGCATTTATTATTGACCTTTTGGTAACTTAGACTATAAGGGCCCTATCATACACCTGGCGCAGTGTGGCGCAAGACGCAGCGCAATAGTCTTTTGGTAGTTTTAGCTTGGCGCAAAAGTCGTTTTGAGGCGTTGCGCTACGCTGTTTAAATAGCAAATGCATGAGCGCACATATGTGAGCTCATAGGCGTTCTGGTCTAAAAAGTAAGGCGTTCTGAGGCGGGCCGCTGGCGCGTTGCTATTTTGAGAAACTATAATAGATTTTTCATTAGACCAAAACTAACCCGGTCTAAACTCCGGCGCAGAGTTGCGCCTCGCTTACGCACTGCTTAATACGCACAAGAGAGCAATAGGCAAATATCTTTACATATGAAAAATTTTAAATATTACGGATATATATAGGATATAATAAGAATAGATATAGAATATAAATATAAAGGATTAAAATATTACAAAACATTATTTTCTAGCCTACATAAATATTAAAAATCATTGCTTTTATGTCTTCTTCATCTCGGGAGGCTTTTTCAGTTCATTCATAACAATTTGCTTTTGTATAATGGTATTATTATTAGCAGTATTATTTATTATATCCATATTTATATTTGTTTTATTAAAAACAAGCTTAGATTTGTCCACCTGTCAGGTTTTAGACCATATGGGGCATGGCAAGTGTATTTGGAAATAACTCAGTATTTTGACCACACTTGGTTATTATTGTTAATTTATTTGTTTGCTAGAAATTAGAACTGAATTTAGAAATAGTTTTGAAACAAAACTTTGCGCTTAACAAACAAAATTAATTATTTATAGGCTAATTGATGTCTGTGCGTAAAGGTTTCCCTATCCAAGAGCGAAAGTGAAAGTGATCCATTATCTCTCATTCTCACGCAGTAGATGCTCTGTTTAAAAGTTTTCTGTTAAAAAACTGTCAACTGTTAACTTTTTGCTTGTGAAATGCTCATTTTTTTCTACTTAGACTTACTTTGTGTCCTGTATATAGCGAATGCTCTCTTGGCGCAATGCAGCTGGGTCTTAAAGGGAATGGGAGATGAGACTCTAATTGGTTTATTCTCAAAACACACCTATAACTCATTAAGAAAATAAACTCAACACTTTTAGCCCATGCGCCTTGGCGCAAAGCAGGTTTTTCCGTCCGTAAATTAGCAAAAATGCGTTCTGACACGCCCTGAAAGCGTTTGCGCCCTGCATTTTGCACTCTGCGCATGGACCGTCAAAATAGAGCTCTATGTCTCAAATGGTAGACAGTCTTTCAATGAAAGTGCAAAAATCACTCAGATTTGATTAGAAAAAATCCTAATTTGTGTTTTGAAGATGAACAAAAGTCTAACAGATTTAGAAACAGAATTTTGGAGTGTACTAATCCTAGTGATAGCAAGTTCTTTTTTTGTCTGATTATTATTGACCTTTTGGTGACTCGATAAACTATATGTCACAAATGGTTAACAGTCTTTCGATGAAAGACTTGATTTGATTTAAAAAAAAAAAAGAATCTTAATTTGTGTTTTGAAGAGTCTAACAGATTTAGAAGAACATGCAGATCTTCATTAAGTAAATAGTAACTAAATAGTGAACTAATGCTTTTGAAGCTCTTATATATATACTGTATAGTGAAATGGCACTTACGTGAAATCAGAATGTCTTGAATTAAAGAAGAAGTTGTTTTTAGACGTTAGAGAGTGTTGTTATCTTGCCAAATGTGCAGAGGGAGACCCAGGTTTGCTGGATGAAAGTCTTGGATCAGAGACGCCTCTGATGCCTTATGTTCATAAATAATGGCATCGAACAATTTGAATGTGTCTCTTGCTCTAGGGTTATGCTTTTGAAAGTGGAGCGTTCACATGAGGACAGCTAATTAAACGGCCGGGATGTGCAAATAGCAGGCATACCGTAGAAATGGGCAGTTGTGATGTTATAATGGGGAATGAAAATGGTGTGTGGCAAGACCTGGCAGGGCTGGGGCCACAGCTGGCATGTGAAGGCTTCGAGTTGTTACTCATGCATAATTGCATTGAGTCAGATCTTCAGGCTCACAAAGACTCCTTGTCCACTGCTCTTAAAGATGCGATGTATGCTATGCAAGTTGATGGCTCTCACATCTGGTTCAAAAAGGTTGCTGTTGTTGAAAGGTTTGGGGATTTTGTTGATTGAAAAAAGGAGCAGATTTATGCAGCGAAAGCACACCAGGTTGAACAAACGTGACAATGAAGACATTTATAACGAGATAAAAGAATTCTGTTCCAAATAAGTACTGTTCTTTTGAACTTTTTCAGAAAAAAAACTATCCTTAAAAGTATACTGCAAAAATACTTTCAATATTGACAATGATAAAAAATGTTTCTTGTGCATATAATAATTTCTGAAGCATCATGTGACCAGTGTGCATGTTCCTTGTCCAGTAGTTCAGTAAAATAAAGGAGTAATTAGTTATAGTTACTAGTTAATTCTCACAATTAGTAACTGAGTTACATAATTATAAAAGTAACTAATTACCTTGAAAGCAACTATTGTGTTACTTAAAAAAATTTAATTTGTCAAATGACTATTAAATAAATATAAAACATTGTATACTCATCTACACTATTTTAATGTTTTTAAATTGTATTTTATTTTAATGTGGACAATGTGCAGCATGTCCTCGCTGATATATCTAGACATTTTTGTTTAATTCTGTCTGTTAAATAAATGTTTTTCTGTTTTTCCCTGAAGTTTTATTTACTTTGACATCGTTGCTTGATCTCCTCTTTTGGTAACAGAGCTCATATTATCACCTGCATAGCTACTAATTTGTGATGACGTGAGGTGCTTCATTAGATTAGAATTACTTGTCACCGACGCAGAGACACTTATTTTTTCTTTGGCATAAGTTGCACGATACACAAACATTCTTGTCTTTCATCTAAACAAGGGAAAAGTAGTGCTTTTATTTCCAGTTTGCAAACGCTACCTTTGAACTTGTTGGATTTGGTATTGTTCTGACTCCTGGTCTTTGTTGTGTGCCACTGACTGTGCGAGTGCACATGTAAACGCCCGCGGTACTTTGTTTCTGTTTGGCAAAAGATGCAAATGTACTCTATCTAAGCCAGTCATCATGTTCTCAGTTGAACCACATTCACAGACAGACCAATCATCATCACTGGTTGGTTATGTGTCCTGCCCTAGCCCCAAACACACTCACACATATATGAGAGAGACACTGCTCAGTGTTCTCAATTATTATCTCACATTTGCAAGAGTTCACACTTAGCTGATGATTGATAATAAAGCTAGTTTGGCGTGCTGTCCCGGGAGAGAGCCCTGAGCTTATAAGATCCTCGAGCCCTGGGCTCCCTCCCGTTGCAAGGCAAGAGGGGAGTTTAAGCTCAGGTAGATCTCGATGACTCCCCCTCTTGCTTGTTGTAGTGTCAGTGTCAGATATGGATGCTGAAAGGTGTACTCAGAGTTTAGCTAAAGTATTTGGATTAATTGTTTAGAGTGCTTGTTTTTGAACTGTGGAAGGAAACCGGAGGACCCGGGGAAAACCCACGCGACCATGGGGAGAACGAGCAAACTCCGCACAGAAATGCCGTCTGGTTTGGAAAGGAATTAAACTAGGGGCATTCTTGCTGTAAGGCAACAGCGCTAATCGCTGGCCACCATGACGCCCGTTTGAAAGGAGGGAAAGTAGGGTTGGGTGGGGGGTTTCTTCAAATCGAAGATATTGAGATGAGACAAGTCTGGTTATTTATAGTGAGTTAAGGATCGTCTGATAGGATAATCAGTCATTAGCTAAAGTTGGAACTGCTGTGAACAATCATAACATCTGATCCTCTCGAAATTTGTTTATAAATAAACTTCACTTATTGTCAGTAATGGTAACAGCGTTGTATAGGGGGAAGCAGTAATTCATTTGATCACTCGTTACTGAAAAAAGTATCGCCGATAATAACGCTGTTTATTTATAGCGCTAATATTCCCATCACTGTGTGTGATTCGGAAGGCTGGAGAAGTTATTCTAAAAATCAACTTTGCAACAAAATAAAATAAAATAGAAAATAGCTATTTACATTTGTAACAATATTTCACAATATTACTGTAGCCAAATATCCCTAACATTTAAACAGTTGTGTAAAATATTATTAGTAGGGTGTTTTTAATTTTCATTACACTTTTAATGTTTCAGCTAAAAAAAAAAAAAAAAAAAAATACAGCAACAGAAAATGATACTTTTTAGAAAATTTAAAGGATTTAAAAGCCCAGCTTCTTCATTTAGTTTTTTAAAAAAAATCATAATTATATTGTATTGTGAGTTCAGTATTGGGATACGCATGAAATTGTCACTTGAGTGTATTATTGTTACACCCCTCTTTAAATATAAAAAATTTTTAAACGTTGTGTACCCATAGATGAGATGTGAAAGTAATGCGAATACTTAATGTTTGCGCTTATGAAACCTGAACTTAAATCTGCTTAGTCATGTAATCACCCCAACTCTTAAGAAAACATGGCTTCTGGTTAGCCTTGTATAAATCTTACACATGCTGTGCTCCTAAACAAGCAAAAGATAAAGAGAATTGGACACACAAAAGATTGCAACATGCCTCAGCACTGACTTGGCACAGTTATAATAACAGAGATGGCTAATATTCATGTTTGTCTTCTCCTCTATGCCCAGACCTGCAGTCATGATGAGGATAAGAGAAATATCCTTTGCATCACGCCCTCCCTGAAAGGCCTCAGCGTTCAGCCTCCGGTCGCCACTAAAATGACCTTCGTCCTGGATGGTTTTTCCACTGATCAGTACGACCTGCTGTACGTGGAAGATCCCAAATTTGAGGAGTTTCAGAAGCCCACTGTCACACCAAGGGGCAAAAAGAACATTCTGGAGATTAAGGTGAGCACAACACAGCCCAAAAATATTCAGTTATAACATCTGTAGTGTGGAAGCAATTCAGATGCTTTTAAAGTATGCATTGTCACGCATAGTGTCACTTAAAGTTTTTATTCAGTGTTAAATGCTACCAATGTACATTTAAATACCATTTTATGTGAAATTTATTGTCAAAATGAGGTAAGTAGCAGCAGTTTACTTTAGATCTTGAAAATAAAAAACTAGCAGATGGTTTTAAAATTAAAGTCAGAACTGCAATTTAATACAAACTCATCAGTCATCAAACTCATCAAACATAAGTCCCTCAATAGCCTATTAATAATATTAAAGAGGCTAATATGTACTAACTAGATTAAAAGCCTTTACCATTCAATTTGGAGTGCAGTTGATGACATTTAAATGTTTTTGTAATGTCGCTTCGTGTTTGGTGCAGGCCTCCAAACTGCTTGTTGCAGAAATCTTGTTTCATGTTGTTAGGATATGGTGTAAGGTTGAAATTTGCTCAAAAGCGTCAGAGTTTTTATTATGTTACAGTCAACAGCTTTTGAATCTTCCATTATCGCAAAAGAAAAAAGCAGGGCTGTTTTATCATACTAAAAAACATGTTAAAGTTCTGTTATACAGTATAGCTGTTTTTTGCTTCTTAGTAAAATGCACAACAAACTGTTAAAGTGTTTTTTTTTTTTTTTTTTTTTTTTTTTTGGTGCTTCCCTGTTTCTATAAAACTAAACCATAATAATAATAATTATTTACATTTATATAGTGCTTTTCTGAACACTCAAAGCGCTTTTACACATTCTTGGGGGGAAGCTCCTGATCCACCACCAGTGATCCACCAGCATCCATGCGATGGCAGCCATATTGCACCAGACAACACAACCACAAACTAGCTGATTGGTGGAGAGGAGACAGAGTGATAAAGCCAGTTATGATATGGGAATGGTTAGGAGGCCATAATGGACAGAGGCCAGTGGGCAAATTTGGCCAGGATGCAGGGGTTAAACCCCTACTCTTTTTTTGAAGGACAACCACGGAAATTTAATGACCACAGGGAGTCAGGACCTGCTTTAATGTCTCATTCGAAAGACGGCACTCATTGAGCAGTATAAAGTCTCCATCAATATACTGGGGCATTTGGACCCGCTCAGACCGTAGGTTTAGCACCCCCAGCTGGTCTCACTAACACCACTTCTGGCATCCACCTAGCTTTCCCATGTGGTCTCCCAACCAGGTACTGACCGGGTGGAGCCCAGCTTTGCTATAGTTGAAGATCATGTGAGAGATGCAGAGAGCTACATAAATCAAGGGTGTGTGTTTGTGTGTGTGTGTTAGCATGGCGATACAGGACACAGTCCTAATTAGTAGTTATAATTATTTTTTCCTGGATTTCAACATTCCTGGAAACATTCGAAATGCTGTTCTAGTAATTATGGATGTTTTAATTAAAGATAGTATATAATGTGTACATATTGTTGCTGAAATGGTAATCATACTGATTTTGCCAATGTTTTTAAATCAATATTTAATATCATGTTCCTGGGGCAAGAACTGTCATAGCCAATCAACATTTGTGATGTCTTCAATTTAAAAATGCCCTTCAAAAGTTTTCATATTTTCAGAAGAATAAGACCATATCTAGTTTTTTTTACGGAGATTTTGTTTGTTTTTTAGTCAAGACAACAAGCTGCACATTTGATTTTTACAGTACCTTAACCTTTTTATACTTCGATGTATGGTACATTTCATTTGCTTAGTTAGCAAAGGCACTAACAAACGTTGATTGGCTGAGATATTTCTTGTCCCAGCTACATTATACAAAACATTAGTCTCAGGACATCAACCCCTTGGTTAAAATCAGCAGAACCAGCAGAAACACACATGCACAGAGTGATTCACACACACTGGAAGGAAACAATACAGCAAACAGGACGTGGAGTTTGTTTCCCATTTTGCACCTCCATCTTTCACATTGTTCTCTTGCCCCTAAAGGTTCAAGCCTCTGACACATTGATGGTGGGATCCTTTTGCCCTGGTGAGGGTATACTAGTGAAACGACCCAGCATTTTTAACAATGAAATATAAGAGTAGAGCTTTTTTTTCCTTAAACCGCCACTCAATAGTCAAACGCAGCTGTTGTGGAAGGGAGGAGGGAAAGAGGGGTCCATGAGATCCTACTTTTTCTTCCCATGCGAGACCGCAGCATCAAATCCCCGTGTACCCCTCTTGGGACTCAGATTTACACACACATTCAGACACACACACACAGACTCATATTAAGTGTTGTGTACTGCTCAGACTCGTTTAAAGCCAGTATATACTCAATAATGGGCACACCAGCAGGCTCTTTTTAGCTTAATTGTCATTAAACTGCCATATCGCTCTGATCAAGCACTTTCATTCCCATGCAGTCTGTTTGTTTAGATTTTGCAGCTTGATACTTAAGGCCTTCTTTAGGGAAATAAAATTGCACTTGGCAGCACTGCTGATGCTCAAGGGGTTTATCGAAAATGTCAGAGATTGTGAGTTACCGGTGCCAGTGGAGAGTTGTTCTGGACATTTGTGCTTCTTGTGGTCATTTCAGTTTTGCTTTTGTGTGTAAGGTTTGTTTACTTTAAAAAAAAATAATTAGATGAAAACACATTGTTTAATAAAAAACTTCTAAATAAAGCATTTTTAAAAAATCAGAACAGATAGAAGATAAAAAATTACAAGTTTTAAATAAAAATGTGATTATAGTTGTACTTGGCATCATAAACAACGTGAATATGATAAAGTCATGATAAAGAGAATGCTTGTATAGTATAGTAGTTTACTATTTAAAGTTTGTATAGAATAGAATTTTAAATGAATTGTAAATAGTATATATATAGTATATAGTATAGTATATATGTAACTACACTGGTTACGTTTGTTGTCTATAAAATTGCACATATTCATCGCACTGCATTGCACTAATTCATCTTGAATTTTACATGCCCACTATACATATACATATACATATACATATACATATACATATACATATACATATACATATACATATACATATAGATTTGTAATTATGTTCCTATCTATCTGTGTACCGCTGATAATGAAAAGCAACCTGTACATATATATTTATCTATTGTAAATCTCTGATCATAGTTAATACAACCTGTATATAATGTTCATAGTACATCCATCTGTAAATATTACCCATAGTTTTTTTATAATTATACTTTATAACTAAGGATGCGGTGATGCGTTGGCACGGTAGGTGGTGCTGTCGCCTCACAGCAAGAAGGTCGCTGGTTAGAGCCTCGGCTGGGTCAGTTGGCAGTTGGGTTACAGCTGGACGGGCATCTGCTGCGTAAAACACATGCTGGATAAGTTGGCGGTTCATTCCGCTGTGGCTACCCCAGATTATTAAAGCGACAATGCCGAAAAGAAAATGAATGAATGAATAAACTAGGGTTGCTCGATCGATCAGCCAGAGATCGGTATCGGCCGATAATCACATTTAAAAACTCGATCGGTACTCTCTGATTAATCTCATGAACCGATCGCAAGTGTTTGTCTTAGTTGGAGATATTCAAAAGTTCAAAAAATATTTGAACGACCTTGCATGTATTTAGGCCTTTTTACATCTAAGAACAGAAAGTGCTGTGTTTTTGACAATATTGCAAGTTCACTAAAACCTGGCTAAAAATATTAGAGACATTTAAAAAAAAACTAAAAATGATATTTTTTTACATAAAAATGTAATAATATAACTTCTTGTACTTTACTTATTAAAATAAACAGTAATTTATAGACCAAGAATTAATGAATGTATAGGTGTGCATTTTAACTTCTTAAGCATCAAATATGCGCTCTAAACTTTTTCTTGATTGAAACGTTGAATTCTTCTTTCATCATTTGCAATGTTTCCAAATTGCATTGTTAGTCCTATAATTATAATTATAATATACTTATAATAAATACTTACTTATAATGGTTATAAGACACATGTTTAAGGGATTGTATGTATGCAGCATCCTTAAATCTCCATAATATAATAAATATTATACTTAGAGGCAAAACGGACTTTATGCATTATAAAGCTTGAAGCATCAGAATCGGTGCCCTGTTTTAGCCGATCATCATGACAAGAAATCGGCACTCGGTATCGGCTGCAATAATCCTGATTGGAGCATCCCTATTTATAACTTATACCTATATCTTACACTTGCTGCTATTGCACTCTTGGTTAGACTTAACTGCATTTCGTTGCCTTGTACTTGTACCTGTGTAATTACAATAAAGTTGAACCTAATCTAATCTATATTTTGCTCAGTGTTAGCTTAAGAATAAGATTCCACAAGTTCATCATTTTGTGATTATTTTTCAATGGGGTCTCAGTCAGTTGAACTTTAATGAATCCCATATCCAACTAATTATCACCGCTAGTTACAATAATGCATTTGCTATTGAGATTACAATACCAGTACTTTATAAAAGTTCTTAATTTGTCATGCCCACTCTAAAAAACATCGTTCTGACTGCGCTTACTAACTAAAAAACCCACACATTTTTAAGCAGTGATCATTTGCTTTTTGTGAATGACTGATGTGCTCCAGGGAGTGTAAGTGTATGTGCGTCTGTTCGCACTGGATCTCAGGCTGGCTGGTGCTGTATGGTAACAGGTGCAGGAGTGGAGTGTGTCCAATCTGTAAAGCCCAGGCTGTCATGTGAGGAATGCGATCGCTGTCTTTATTGCCTTTTGCTCCGCTCCGTTCACCAGAATGGGCTGGGTTTAGACGGGTAGAAGCTCCACAATCTATACGGCCCATATATCCCTCTCAATCACACCCCAGATTTTTCTTTCATCAAACCTTTCTGTTTCTCTCATTTCCCCCCTTCAGGTCCCCCCTGTGAATCAAGAGGCGGTGAAAAACGGTGAGGTGCTGAGAGTTTCAAATCGGACCTGCGAGAGTGTCACTTTGGTGGGCAACACGCTCGAATGCACCGTACCCATGGAGCTCCAGACCGCCGCCAAAGAGCTGGAGGTGGAGGTACGAGACGCACTTTAGCCCACTTTAATCCACTCAGAGCCTCTTGTCAGCCAGCCGTTTGTCCTCTTCTTGTTCCAGCAGCCTCTCAAAGAAGCAAACATGATCTTTGTAGAGGTTCTCAAACCATGATAGTCTCCAGGAATGTAGATATATGAGGATTAGTATCAATAATTATTTTCATCAAAGGAGTTCGTATTGTCATTTTTATGTATACTGCCCTCCACTAAAGGTGCTTTTCCATTGCATGGGATGGGGCTGTTTGGTTTGGGATGACTTTTAAGGGCATTCCTAGTACCTGGTACTTTTGTCCCTTTTAAGGAGAGGTTTTTAACAAGCCATACCATTGCTAAAATGTGACTTACACACACTGATGATGACCGATTCTTTACTACCAGCATGAGACGGACAATGTCACACATTTATTTATGTTGCATTTACAGTAGCGGTACCATATAACTGTATTTCACCTACTGTAAGCAGCATTAATCTGCAGTTGAAATTCAAACATAGTTGACAAAACAAAACCAAGCCATGCCGAAATGAACCATAATGCACAGCGACTAAATGTTGGCAAGGATGGGATGTCTTTATTGTTTAACCTTTTTATGTTTGTTTGTTTTTTTTGTTTTGTTTTTTTTTGGAATATTAGCAAAAACCAAAGGTGCCTAAAATTGTTTTTTTGGATGAATATAGAGGGTTTTACTTGAAACTCTTTCAAGTAGTTGTACTGTAGTAATGCCATTACTATGTTTCCATCCAAAAATGATTACTAAATTTATGCACAAAACAGGAATATCACATAAAAAGACATATGAAATAAAGCAGCGCTTCTATCCAATGAGTCAAAGAGAACAAAACCATCACTTTCTGGTTAACTGGAGCCAAATATCAAAAGTAAAAACACAATTTGCTTTCAGAAGACAATGCCGACACTCAATGAAACCGTGGTGGTGTTTGAAGGCGTGAGATGCGGAGCACAGGCAATGGTTAGTCATTTTAGAATGACCAAAACAACATTTCAGATGTTTTACAATGTGCTCAGCCTGCTTGTTTGTCCATTCTCACAAGTTTTTTTTTTTTTTAATCATCACATGATCTCTTATACAGTAGCAAAATCACATGACTTTTTTTAATGCACATACTGGAATTTGTTCGGTAAAAGTGCTTCCATTATAGTTTATGCACATCTTTTCTTATTGAATAAAAAGTTTATCCTACTCAGTTATGCGCATACGTTACTAACTCAAACCATATTCATAATTGTGTGTTAGGACAGAAACTGAAAGAAATTATTGTAAGATTATTGTTATCATAGTGAAAATTGACATTTTGGTGTTTTTGCTATTTTCTTAAAACCACTTCCCATTTTGTGAAACTCAACAACCTTTTGCCTCAAATCACAGCTACAGCAGTTTTTTTCTAACCCATTCTGGTGAATGACGAGGTGAGTTTGGTTTATGTGTCACCTCATATTTACATCTCTGTGAATCAGGTGGTCATGGTTGACATGTTCTTATTTCCAGTCACTCAGGTGTACAGTACTCATTTATGCAAAAATATCAATAAGAAGATACTTCAAAAACATTTTGCTCAAATTAATTCATGAAGTTGCAATAGAAGTCTGATGTTCATGTTTGACATGATGACAAGTTCATGTTTTGATTTACCATATATAAATATGTCATATATGCAATATAAATTTAAATATTACAGAAATGGCCATTTATATATATTTTAAAACTATTAAATTATAAATATGTTCAAGTATTCATTTATTCATTAATTTACCTTAGGCTTAGTCCCTTTATTCATCAGTGGTCGTCACAGCTGAAAGAACCACCAACTTATCCAGCATAAGTGCGGATGCCCTTCCAGCTGCAACCCAGTACTGGAAAACATCCATACACACTCATTCACACACACTACAGCCAATTTAGTTTATTAAATTCACCCGTACCACATGTCTTTAGACTATAGGGGAAACCAGAGCACCCAGCCGAGACTTGAACCAGCAAGCTTCTTGCTATGAGGTGATAGTGCTAACTACTGAGCCTCTGTATACATACATACATACATACACATACATACATATATATATATAATGTGTATGTATATATATATGTATATATATATATATATATGTATGTATATATATATATATATATGTATGTATATATATATATATATATATATATATATATATATATATATATGGCCATATATCAGATATCTTTATATAAATTTTTGTCAAGTTTATGTTTGTATATATAAAACAGTGTTGCAAAGTGTTTATATATATATATTTTTTTTTTTTTTTTTTTTTTTTGAGCAAAAGATCAAGGGGTTTAACAATAGTCATGTTTTAGCTCATATTTAGCAGTGGTGCCAATATTGGTGGAGGGCACTATATCAGAATCCACCTGATAAGAAGCTTCCCTTGTTTGCCTTTTCAAGCTCAGCAAGCACATTAAAAAAGAGCATTTGAGGCCCCAGACAGTCTGATATGATTGGTTCAGAGATCAAGGAAACGTTGGTCTCAGCATAAAGTGCTTATCTGTCGGAGAGAGACGAACAGGGTGCGTGTGACACGATGCTCTAATCTGACCCCATCACAACGCAGCGCGCTAAAACTCATCTCAGCCTAAACTCAATAACACCGCACCACATAAGAGAGGCTCAATCTCTGATCCAATTTCCCCTCCTGCCTGCAGTGGATGTGTGCGTTTCATTTTGCGGTGCTGCTTTATGACCGGTGAAACCCTCTCTCTCTCTCTCTCTCTCTGAGCATAAACGCTCCCTGAGGATGTTTCTAGATGGATTGTTGTGATGTTGGAGGTTCAAATGTAAACACGTTGCGGCGTATGAAATCTGAAGCAAATGTGGCGCAGATGTGATGCCATGGACGTTCTCTGGCTGTCTATTTCATTGAGCTTCTGCAGGTCTTAAAAGGGTCTTAAAAAGGCTTAATTCACCCTCCCATAATTTAAAACCTTAAAAGGTCTTAAATCAGAGCAGAAAGGCTTAAATTCATTCAAGTGAAGGCAGTAAAATGTTGCGTGCACAGCAATAATAGTACATCTTTGTCAATGTTTGTTACATAAACATGCTTTAATCAAGATAATGTTACTTGAGATGATTACAAAATGAAGAAATTAAGCTGTTAAGCTTTAAACAAGATCAAATATTGGGTTTAGAAATTACATTTTCTGTTTGAATTAAGTTGATTTTTCTGTGCTTAACCGGAAGACACCATAAGTTTAATCACAAATAAGCTTAATTTTAATTAATTACACAGAAAGCGAGACTCCTTTTCTCAGGTTGGTTTGCATCCAAAGTTTATATATCTGGAGGACAAGGAAAAAATATTGATAAAGAGCATCACTTTTGTGTTGTTTGGTCAGAAGGTACCGTTTAATATGTTGTTTTCAAACCTTTAGCAATTTTTTTCAAAGAATTTAAAATGTATTAATGTCAGTGCAAACTGGTTGTATTTTAAAACTTTTAAATGTTACTAAACTACTTAACTACTACATCTCATTGTGTTTTCCCTGTAAAATTAAAGGTGGAGAACTTATTGACGTTTTCCTAAAATTTTCATATTTTATAAAATCTTTTCTTACTTCACAAAATCATCTTACTTTAAAACATCTTTAAAAACTTACTTTCACAAAACCTGCAGATAGCATGAATAATATTTACTTGTTTATGGTTTTATGAATTAATAAGAGTTAAGATATGCTACAAAATACTTGTACAACATTTATTTGTATTTAATGGCATAAAATCTGTCCAACACATTATAAATATTAATTTTACTTAATGGCAGTAATTAGGGATAGAACTACAATCCCATGAACCATTATGAATGACAAAATCAAATAAATAATTATGTAAAATATAATACGATTAATTAAAAGTTTGATGTAGTTTGATGCATTAACAAAAATAATATATTTTAAGTTTATTTGCAAAACACGCATATATCCAGCTAACAATCAGAATTTTTAAACCCCCTTTGATTTTTATTTATTTTTGTTTTTTTATTTCCCAAATTATGTTTAAAAGAGGAAGGAAATTTTCACAGTATGTCTGATAATATTTATTTATTTATTTATTTTTTCTGGAGAAAGTCTTTTTTATTTTGGCTAGAATAAAAGCAGTTTTTAATGAAAAAAAAAAACATTCTAAGGTCAAAATTATTAGCCCCTTTATTTTGCTTTTAATAGTCTACAGAACAAACCATTATTATTCAATAACATGCCTTATTACCCTAACCTACTATCATTATCCAATAACTCGCCTAATTACCCTAACCCGCCTAGTTAACCTTATTAACCAAGTTAGGTCTTTAAATGTCACTTAAAGCTGTATAGAAGTGTCTTAAAATATCTTGTCAAATATTATTTAATGTCATCATGACAAAGATAAAAGAAATCAGTTATTAGAGATGAGTTATTAAAACTATTATGTTTAGAAATGTGTTGAAAAAATAAAAACGGGGGCGAATACTTTGGGGTAATTACATACAAATATGTAAGTATTTTGAATTCATGGGGAGGTTATTTGTGGTTAATAATTGGAGAGACATGGCTCTGGTGTAAAATTCTGTATTGCATCATGTGTAATGTAGTTTTTCTGCACAAACACTGCAATTAAGCATGAATGTTTTAAAAAGAAGTAAAAAAAATGCAAACTCGATGAACAACTTCAGACAAAAGTGTGTTTTGTAATTGCTGTGCTCTATTCAAATATTAGTCGCCAATGTACTTGTATATGGTCACTGATATTTGCGGAAAATAACCCCCAAATTTTTATGTCCATTGTAGTGGAAGCAGGCCACATCATCTGTGATCTTGGGCCGTGTGATTTTGGCTCAAGACCAGGATTACAGGATACTGATCACTGGAGGAGTGTGTGTGTCCATCCTCCTCCTGCTCCTGATCGCTGTGTTTGTTTGGATCAAGAGAAAGAAGCACATTAATGGTATGTGACTGCGTTTTTATGTTGTTGTGCTGTCTTTAATGTATATGTGTCGAGCTGTTTTGATGCCTCCTGCGGTTATTCAAATGAAATATGCAGCACTATGCGCACAAATGTTTCTCATCATTTGTATAACCTAAGAGCGGTTAGATCTATAAAAATAATGCAAATAGCACCACTTATATACAAAATGAAACACTTTTTTATACAAAACAGCTTTAGATGCAACCCACACTGACTGCACTATAAATTGTTAAAAGATTTCGATCTCAATTCATACAGATTCAAATTGTTTAATTTCTTAATGTCAGTGATTGGGCTATGTCTATTAAACATGCAACTCTGCTAGTTTATTATTTCTTTAGTCCATCCAACCACACAGATTTATTATTTCTATGTTATAATACGTTGAATTTTACAGAAACGGTAGGATAAAGTGTTTTAGAATAAGGATTTGATCATAAGATTTGTATTAAAACAGTAGGTGTTTTTTGTTTGTTTGTTTGTTTTTTCAGTAGATAGTTACAATTAATTGTTTATGTTTGTTAAAAAATGTTTGTCATCGAGTGATTTGTTCAAAAACACTGATTCATTCAATAAAAATTTATTGAATTAGTCAATCAACCTTTTAATTATTCATTCAAATCAATTCAATTTGTTTTTAAATGAGATTATAGACTAATATTATGTAAGATTGTAAAGGGAGTTAAATTAAAATCTATATTCAGAAGCTTTCCAGAATTATTGCAAACACTGTTTTATTTTTAAAAGTTTTATAGTATAAATTTTGCATCCTTTCAAAACAAACAAACAAACAAACAAACAAACATCAAGGCAAAAAGATACATTTTACTTTTGTTAAATAATATTTTATGGAAAAAAAATGTTTAACAAAAATTTGCTTATATCAATCTAACATAGGCGAGGCAGTGGCGCAGTAGGTAGTGCTGTTGCCTCACAGCAAGAAGGTCGCTGGTTCGAACCTCGGCATTTCTGTGTAGTTTGCATGTTCTCCCTGCCTTTGCGTGGGTTTCCTCCGGGTGCTCCGGTTTCCCCCACAGTCCAAAGACATGTGGTACAGGTGAATTGGGTAGGCTAAATTGTCAGTAGTGTATGAGTGAATGTGTGTGTGGATGTTTCCCAGAGATGGGTTGTGGCTGGAAGGGCATCCGCTGCATAAAAACTTGCTGGATAAGTTGGCGGTTCATTCCGCTGTGGCGACCCCGGATTAATAAAGGGACTAAGCCGGCAAGAAAATGAATGAATGAATCTAACATAAATTGTGAGATTTGTGCTTACAGTTGTGCTTAATATAGATAATTTCTGAAACAGCTTACTAAATTGCGATTTTTTTTTACCATCAATTTACTATTAATACAAATTTTTCAATTTTATTTTCATACATTTATGTTGTTTTAAAGATATTTTAGGTATTTGCATTAAACAACATCTACACAGTAAAAACCCATTACAAAAATGTAATAACGACAAGATTGTCTTGCACTTAAAGGTCAGTTTAGCGACAAGCTCTGAGCTGCCCTTACATCTAGAGTCATCAAACTTGCTAATGTTGATCAGAATGAACTAAATGTGAATCCACTGACAGCGTGAGATGAAGAAAGAGAGCTGTTTCTGGGTTGTTTATGGGAGTTGACACTGCTGAAGTCCAATGGTGGAGCGACCTGTCCCTTTTTTTTCTCTCACCTCTCTTCGGTCTCTCTCTCACCCTCTGTCTCTCTCTGGTTGTAGATTTAGCTAAGACTATGGTTTGGTATGACGGCCGGGCTCACATTCCGCACTTGGACATGTTGGCAAACGCGAGGAGTGTCAGTCCCACTAATGAAATGGTCTCTCACGAGTCGGTGGACTATAGAACCACTTTGCTTGAGGGTATGTTTCCACGCTTCGCTGCCTCTCGCTCAAAACACGCCGCTGGTGGATGTTTGCCTTTTCTGCTGATCTCAGACCAGCTTTGCCTTTTCTCTCTCTATAGCTCTAGATAGGCAAGCCTGGTCTTAGATCATTTTTTTCTCCAAGCATACACTTTTCTGACTTTCCTTTCTCTAACCCTTGGCACACCTTGGTAACAAAAATTCTGTAAATTTTTAGTTATAAGTGTAAATATACAGTTGAAGGCAAAATTATTAGTCCTCTGTAAAATATTTATGTATTTTCATTAGTTCATAAATCATTCATTTAATTGAGAATATGTCTTTAAAAACATATTAGTTTTAATAACTAATTTCTTTTGTCTTTGCCTTGATAACAGCACAAACCATTTTGCTTGTTATTTTGCAACAAAGTATTATGCTTAAAGTGCAATTAAAAGGTTAACTAGGTGAATTACCTTAGCTAGGCAATTTAGGCAAGTCATTGGACAACAGTGTTTTGTTCGGTAGCTAAACGAAGCAAAATCGTTTTTTAAAGGAGCTTATAATATTGACCTTAAAACTAATGTTTAAATGTTTTTTTTTCAACCAAACTAAAAGTAATAAGATTTCTCAAAAAAAAAAAATAACAATAATAGGGCATACTATGAAAAAATGTCTCGCTCTGTTAAATGTCACTATGAAAATATTTGAAAAAAATAATAATAATAATTTCATAGGAGGGATAGTATTTTTGCTTTCAACTGTATATATAATTACTCTATATGTGTGTGCCTCTCTTTGAAAAGACAGCTCTATACATGTGATATGAATTGAAATGATAAAAAAAACCTTAGTCAATCATCCATTTTTTTTATTTATTTTGTTTTAGGATAGAACTTAGTTATGCTTGATATAATTAGTCATTGATAAATAAATAAATAAACAATGAATGAATGAATGAATAAATGAATGAATGAATGAATGAATGAATGAATGAATGAATGAATGAATGAATGAATGAATGAATGAATGAATGAATATGAGTATATTGCATGCTACCAGATTTTCTAAAATCAAAAGCAGAAGAAACCAAGAACAAAATAAATCAGCAACAAAGCACATGTACAGTAGCATGTCTATTCTGCATGGTATGTGAGACCCTCTTGCATTTTCTGCTGGTTTGATTGGAAACAGACATAAGAATTGAATCAGGCGCTCAGATTGTAGAGAGCTTACAGCATGTCAAATGTACTTTGCATCCATTTGGTATGATCAAACTAATAAATAAAGGTAAAAAGCCCTCATTGGATCCATAATATGTACCTTTAGGTACAAAAGTGTTCCTTTTGAAAGTATACTGCCCCAGTGACAAATTTTGTACATGTTTTTGAGAGTATCAATGTGCTCACTTCACAGTGATGCCACAGACAAAGAAAAGAAATGTAATTTATTAATGTAATATATTATTCAACTTATGCTAAGCCTCCAACTCAACCTCTGGCAAGTGAACTCAAACAGCTCATTAGCCAGTGCCCATCATTAGACATTTTTTAGTCACCTGAGTGTAGTATTTGGTCACATACGCAAATGGTTTACTCTTATTATAAAGGGTTTTTCTCTCTAAAGACTTTGCATGCTCTCTTGCCACCTTTTTTTTTTTTGTCTGAAAAGACGAAAAAAAATCCCCTCTCATGTGTATAGCATGGTTTAGAGTTTCCTCCACTCTTTGTAGTTGCTGTAATGACTCTGCCTCCCAGACTTTCTCTGCTTTGTTCAGGTGACCCCAGGCCTCTGTGAACAAGCCATTGACTTCTGACCTCTCAACCCTATTGCCTTGCAGACCAAAACTTGCCTCTGTCTCAGACAGAGTCCTGCCGGCCTCATCTCTACGCTCATTCCCATGTGGATCTGTCCCCAATGCTCGGGCCAATGGAAGGGGACCTGGCGTCTCCGCTGCTGCCCTCTACAGCGCCTATAGATCTAGGCAGCCTCCATCCTGAGCTGCTGAAGGAGGTCCAGCATGTGGTCATCGCAAGAGAAGATCTGCTCTTACATGTCAATGAGATCATCGGGAGAGGTGAGGAGACACAAATATCTGTATTAAACAAAACAAACACAGAAGGGAAAACTCTGTCGGCATTTACTCACCCTCCACTTAAGTTTCCTGTTAAATGCAAATGAATCAGGTCAATCTGTGCTTTTGAAAACACTATTGGTTGGGTTTAAGAAAAGAAGGAGGAAAGAGGGTCAGTCAATCGGTCAGTCAGTCGACAGTGGCCTTTGGTGTATTTATGCAAGAAGAGCTGGCACAAATGGCACTCACGAGAGAAATTTAAGATCTGAAAAAGCGTACACAGCAGCCTTTAGTGAATTTGCGAAAACTAAAACTGCAAAAAATGTAGCTCCTGGGACGTATTTGAAGCTCTTGAGAAATGTATATAGTGTCATGTTTTCAGAATGAGCCTGATTGTATGGATGTCAGGGTCATCAGTTTACAGCATTCTTCAAATATCTTCTTTTGTTGTCATCAAAAAAGAAACTCATAAAGGTTTGAAACCAATTGAGGGTGAATAATTGTGAAGTGTATTGTCACTTTTGGTGAATATTTTATATGGTTATTAGTTTATTAAGTAAAGAGTTAGATTATATGTCAAATGATCCTTGTTATTATTTTGAAATTATTTCTCTAACTTTTTAAAAATGTATTTAATATACATACAGTACTATATATGTTTTTAAACTAAATTTAAACTGAGGAAAAACTGTTTGACATAATCATTTGTTACTATTTCTAAAAGGAAAAATGGGGAAAAAATGGGAAAAAATGGGAAAAAAAGACTGCCAAATAAGTAATGTGGCCTAATGTGAGAAATTATGTTTTCTACAAAATCTTAATCTTTTTTTAAAGGGACATTTCATACCAAAAACTGAACATTTCCTTACAGTTTGCTCATCCTGAAGTGGTTCAAATGTGTATAAATGTCTTTATTCTGTAAAATAAGATATTCTGAAGAATGTCAAATGTCTATGGGTGCTGCTTTCTAACCCTATTCAGAATATATTCTTTTGTGTTCAACAGTGGGTTATTAAATGATGAGAGTTCATTTTTGGGTGAGCTAAGGCACAAAAGTATATATAATTTATAATATAATATAATATCATATAACAATGTTATTGACCAATGTGTCTTTGTACTGTTACTGTAACACATTTGGCACCAAACATCTCCCCCATCCCCCACATTACAAGAAACCCAATATCTCAATTGAGAGATTTGGCAGAGGGCATCATTTTCACCCGTGGTTAAAGCTAAAAGGTTAAACTTTGACAATCCGCCCAGCAGCTTGGACATTTGAACGTTAAATTGCCCTGTCATCTCATTGTCCCACTGAGTGTGGGGGTGTGAATGTGCATATCAGATTTACAGTAAAGCTCAGGTAAAAAAAAATCTCCAGTCCTCCCCAAAACCTAACACACTACACTACTATGGAGAAACCGAACCCTGTGTTTGTGCATGTGACACGGAGCGATTTATAGAGCTGGAGGAAGAGGCCGTGTGTATATGCGAGTATGTTGGGGTGCTCGGGGTGGCATGTGTGGTGATTTGTTTCCGTGTTAAATTCCAGGCTCATTGTTGGGCCGTTTCAGGGCTCTGTGCCGGTAATCTGACTCGCCTGCCATCTGGGAAGACGTGATAGCTGAGCTGGAGGGAGATTATAGCACTCCACGCTCTATTATTTCAACACAACATCCCCTCTCTATTCTCCCTGCCCTCATTAGAGAGGATACTCTTGTAATTGGTTAATCTTTTAGTTATAACACAACACTGCGCTCCAGACGTCCCGCTTGAGTTCATATTTCACAGTCTTGCGGCAATCATTCTTTATGTGGCTGTTTTGAGAAGATTCGATAACATATTAATTAGACTATAATTGAGATCAAAGGTTTGAACAAAGCCATAGTAATTCAGGTATTTGCAAACGGTTTGTGCTGCAGATGTGAATTACACCATACCTGAAATTAGATGGAAAGAGTTTGTATCTAGTAATGGTGATTTAATTTGAACTTAAAGCAAACTAAAGCTAAAATAAAAATGTATTTAGACATATTTAAAAAATTTATAAAATGACAGAAACACAATCAATTTACTCAAACCAAAAAATCTGTAAATAAAAACTATTTGAAATGCTAAAAAAATATTACTCCGTGAAAAAAATAAAACTATAGAAGTAGAAATAGTAACAAATAATAAAGTTTGGTGTCTGTAAGAATTTTCTTATGCTCAAAGTCTTCATATATTTGATTAAAATACAGTACAGTAATGTTACAATCAATTTTTCTTTTTTTAATTTTAAAATACTTTAACATTATATTTTCATATATTTCTGTGGCATGCACCAGGTTTTTTTATAGCATCATTACAGCAGTTTGTAGTGGAAAATACAATTTCAGGATTTTTTGATAAAAACATACTACCTGACAAAAGCCTTGTCCTCTATCCAAGTTTTAGAAGCAATAAATAATAATCTAGTTTATAATTTGGTATCAGAAAGGCTTAAATGAAAGGCAAAGGCCTCTAGATTACACTTATTTTAACCAAAATAAATTATGATCATGCCTTGATTTTTAATTATTTAATTAGGACAGTAAGGTTTGACTTTGCTTAGACAAAAGTCTTGTCACTTAACAGAAATAATGGACAGAATAGAATATTAAGTCATGGTGCAGTGGGAAAACTATCAGGGCTCTATTTTGACGGTCCATGCGCAAAACGGAAAGCGCAGGGCGCAAACGCATTCAGGGCGTGTCATAATCATTATTTTCTAATATAAGGATGGGAAAATCTGCTTTGAGTCGTGGCGCATGGTCTAAAAGGGTTGAGTTTATTTTCTTAATGAGTTATAGGTGTGTTTTGAAAATAAACCAATCAGAGTCTCATCTCCCATTACCTTTAAGAGCCTGCTGTGTCGCGCCATAAGCGCATTTGCTATTTACATGACGTAAAGTAAGTTCATTTTCGCTTATAGGGAATATATGGATAGGGAAACCTTACCGCACAGACATCAATTAGCCTATAAATTATTAATTTTGTTTGTTAGGCACAAAGATATGTTTCAAAACTATGATTAAATTCAGTTCTAATTTCCAGCAAACGAATAAATAAACAATAATAACGAAGTGTGGTCAAAATACTGAGTTATTTCCAAATACACATGCTGTGCCCCATATGGTCATAAACCTGACAGGTGGACAAATCTAAGCTTGTTTTTAATAAAACAAATATAAATATGGATATAATAAATAATACTGCTAATAATAATAACATTATACAAAAGCAAATTGAATGAACTGAAAAAGCCTCCTGAGATGAAGAAAGTATGAAGGCAGTGGTTTTTAAATTCATGTAGGCTAGAAATTCTTATGTTTTGTAACATTTTAATAATTTATATTTATACCCTATATATATATATATATATATATATATATATATATATATATCCTTATTATATATATCCTTAATATATTATATCTTTTTCATATGTAAAGATATTTGTGTATTGCTCTACATCTTGTGTGTAGTGTGTAAGCCAGACGCACTTAGCGCCAGACAATAGACCGACTTTGTTCTGGTCTAAAGAACAGACTATTTACAGTCTCTTAAAATAGCAACGCGCCAAAACACGTCTGCTTTTTTAGACCAGAACCCCTATGGGCGCACATATGACCGCAAATGCATTTGCTATTTAAACAGTGTGGCGCAACACCTCAAAATGACCCTTGCGCCAAGCTGAAAGTAGCAAATAGCAATTGCGTTGCGCCTTACAACACATTGCGCCGGGTGTATGATAGGGCCATAATATTGTGTATGACTCCCATGAGCTTGGAGGACACCATCCATACATCTGTGCAATGAAATAAATAACTTAATAAATGTCAGATAATTAATAAAGTAATCTGGAATAGCAAAGAAAGTGATCTTACAGGACTCCCTGAGTTCGTCAAGATTCTTTGGATTCATCTTCAATGTCTCCATCATCTTACCCCAGACATGCTGAATAATGTTCATGTCTGGTGACTGGGCTGGCCAATCCTGGAGCACCTTAACCTTCTTTGCTTTCAGGAACTTTGATGTGGAGACTGAAGTATGAGAAGGAGTGCTATCCTCCTGAAGAATTTGCCCAGTCCTGTGGTTTATAATGTAATGGCCAGCACAAATGTCTTCATACCTCAGGCTGTTGATGTTGCAATCCTCTCTTCAGATCTCTCGCATGCCCCCAGACAAAATGTACCCCCAAATTATGATTGTTCCTTAACCAAACTTGACTGATTTCTGTGAGAGTCTTGGGTCCATGAGGGTTCTAATAGGTCTTCTGAAGTATTTGTAATGATTGAGATGCAGCTCAACAGATGATTCATTGGAAAAATCTACCCTCTGCCACTTTTCTAAATGATCAACTAGAAGTCAAGTTATTATTTGTTGTAGTAGTGTAATGTTGAAAAGAACAGCAATTGAAAAGACTTTGTAATAAGAAATTGTATTTGAAAAATGTATAACTTTGACCCTTACGTAAACATTGTAACCATCCTTGTTAATGTTTTATGAAAAGATTATCAATAAAAAATTAAAGTGAATTAGTTTAGAGTGGTGTCTGGTTTTGCCAAAAAATTGATCAAATATTATAAATAAAATCTTCCTGTATCTCCCTGTGTACTGTTCAAAATCAAAACCTAAAACCAACCTCACACTGTAACTTCCTGTGATTTAAGAAAGTGCATAGCGATACTGCACGAAACTCGTCTGAGAGTTAAACGCCAGTTGTAGTCACAGCATAATGTTTTCACGCTTCATTGTTCTTGCTTTTTTGGCCTCAATGCTACACGTACCTGCTACTGTATGCCCGCACTCCTCTCGGGTATAAAGTGCTTTGATAGATTGATGTGCTAATAATCTCTGCCATGTTTTCCTGTCTTTGTGTGCACCAGGGCACTTCGGCTGCGTGTTTCATGGAACCCTCCTCGAGCCAGATGGCCAGAAGCAGCACTGCGCCATCAAGTCCTTAAACCGTGAGTTTGACAACATAAGAGAGCTGCAACAATCTCATTGGATGAGCATCATTCATTCGTTTTTTAGGGAGTCTGTTGTGCCAAACACCCTTTAATCTTGGTAAAAACCACTGTAGCTGGGTTTCCATCACCCTGTATTAAAAATGAATTTTGAAATATTGCATGAGAAATGAGCAAATTTTAAATCAAATTCCCTTAAATTGCGAAGATATTTTACACTTGCTTGGGATAGTTTTGGACTTCAAAAAAGGGTTAATGTGAATTATGGAAGATGAAAACTCATTTGCGAAATGAAACCTCAGTGACCAATCAACTGTTTTTATTATGCTTGCTTTGTCAAACTGAACTTGATTAAAAGCACACCTGAATTGTATTTAGAATTTTTTTTTTTTTTTGTGAACTTTGAAAAGATTTGGTTCAGATTGGGAAGGAAATCCGACTTGTTAGCTTTAACTAGATTAGCTTTAACAGCTTAAAATTCATTACAGGGCACAGGTCATGAAATTCCAACTTTTGCCACTTAAATATGTTTAAGCACTATAATTGAGTCCCACTGCATCTAACAACCCAGAAAACTGGTTATTGCCTTTAATCCACTACTGGTTATTACTTACAATACATGTGATATTTGTCTCTTCTGGAAAAAAGTCTCTTTATGGCAAGTCATTTTACTCTGCAGCCATCTTGAAACCCCTCCCGGGCAGTATACAACATCAAATTCTCCAAAACTGTTTGCCAAGCTTATGATTACATTACATATTTGAAACCACCAATAAAATTAGACAACAACTGTCTCATAAGTTTAATTTCCAAATGTCCAAATCAAACAAAATCAGCATTTTTTTAGGATGTCCAAGCTAATGCACATGCACATTTTAAATGAACGAGATCATGACACCAACCTCATTTATGGCACTTTATCATCTTCCGGACAATGATTTGTTTAATCGTGCTGGTTCTCTGTAGAAATTCACAAATTGGTCTTGATGGTGAATCTCCACTAGAAATCACAGCAACTCTTTGTTTACAAGTTTCAGAGCGTTTGAGTATTTGCTGTCATGTGATGTGCGTTTGACAGAACAGACTCTATCTTGCGATCATTTCATAGAGATTACAGCTAATACCCCCACCCAGTTCAAAATTATACGAGTGACACGTCTTGTGTTATTTGCTGTAAAGTAGTTGCTCATTTGCATTTAAAGGGACGCACACAAAAAATGTTATTGCTCACCTACTGTACAAATTAGTAAATTTGACAAGCTTTAATGAATTATCTGTTTGGCATTTTGAGCTGACACTAGACATTTACTTTAAATAAGAATCAAAGAATACGTCCACTTTAAATCTTATAGGAACCTCTATTTGAGCGCATAATTAAGCATCTCGGTTATAAGTTCATTCTGAACTCAGTGTGACATCTCCTTACTGAGAGATGACGTATGACTGTTGTGGTTGTTTTAATATGGCTGTGTGATGAAGATGATGATGATGAATGCATTGCAGAGCAGCCGTATCGTATTAGAGATGTCTCTAATCACGTCATGTCACTGAGAGCTTTTAGATTTATGACCCAGCTTTGTTTTTTTTTTGTCTCAGTTCTTTTTAACACTGTTCCCTAACTAGACTGTAGCAATGTGTCAAGTTTATCTTTTACTTTCCGATACGTTTTTCTGTATTTCAGTGTGATTTTATTAATATTAAATATTATTATAGTTGTTATCAGAATCTTAATTGTTTTATATTTTAAGTTTTATTTAAATATACAGTGCTCAGCCTATATGAGTACACCCCTCACAAATCTCTCATTTAAATTATTTTCTATAGTAAGCTTTACGATATTATATTTGTGCATATACATTAGTTTAGTCAGTAATGAAGCCAAATCTAGAGCTAATCTAACAAAATAACTGACAATAATGGTTCAAAAGCTATTAGCCCAAATGTATGTTAAAGAAAATTATTAAACTAAATTTTCAAAAATAGCAAAAATCGAGAGAAATAAACAAAAAATATATATATATACCATTTTGTTGAAATTTTTTAGTTTGTAATTTGTTTTTGCAATATTTTGCATGAATTTAAATGTATCATCTTTCCATTTCTAAAGATGTTCTGTGACTAAAATATTATTTAATAAATATATATGTTTAATAAATCTGTTTTTTCTCAAATGTACCAATATATATATTACCCATATTTACTGAGAAATAGATAAAAATATAAATTTTCAAAATGGGGTGTACTCAATTATGCTGTAACTAATTTTAACACTAATACTAATTTATTTTGATTTATTTATTACATAAAGATAAAAGAAAAATATTTAAAAACCTTAATAAAATATTTCTTTTTCATTTTTATAATTGTTTAATGTGTGGATTTTTTATGTGTACGTTTAATATACATTTTTACTTTATATGTATGTTTAATATAGGATTTACATCAATATAATTTTCAATTATTTATGTTATAAATATAAATATATATATATATATATATAATGGGTTATGATTATATTTAACTAAATATACAATATAATGCATTTTAATAATTAATTTAATTTATTTTGTTTCATCCAGTTTGCCAACAGTAACTAAAACATATTTGAATTTATATAGACATTTACAACAAAATATAACAAAACAGAACAAAAACCTGAAATAAAATTAAATAGAGATTTAAAAAAAAATAATAATCCACATTAATTCAAATCATATGTGAAAATGTCTGCATGCCTTACCCCGAAAAAGTAGTTTTTATGTTTTTAGTTATAGCTGACTGTTTTAGCTTGTGCATCTGTATACATTAATCACAGCAAAGAATGAATGAATAAATAATAGCGAAAAAATGATTGACTGCTTTTGAGCTGTTCCCAGATCTCTTTTGCTCTTTTGAGAATCCAGCAGTCAGTGTAGCGTAGGATACCTCATTGCTCAGGATCAGTCTACTGTAAAACATGCACACACAAGCTCTCTTTTTTGTGCACCCATAAGCCTCTCTTTCTCTTAGTGAAAGGTTAAACATCTGTTTAATCTCCCCAAAACGTGAACGCTCTACCAACAAGATTAAAACAGGACCGGCAAAATCTCAAATCTCAGCTCATGTCACAGTGGATTAAGTCTCGCTCCAAAACCTCCTGGCTGAAATATCAGGCCGAGTGTGTGTGTATGCGTGTGATAAAACACTTGATAGTGTTGCAGATAATTTATAAGTGGTGATGAATGGTTCACTGACAATTTGGCAGGTTTATTACAAACTCAGAAAACGTATAGCTGGATAGATGTTAAAAGTCATTTTGCATGTGTAAATCTAAGATGGGGAGGTGATACTGAAAACCGTTGTGGTGATTATCTGAACTTTTGTGTGGCAGGAATCACAGATATCGAGGAGGTGTCTCAGTTTCTGAAGGAGGGCATCATCATGAAGGATTTCAGCCATCCCAATGTGCTTTCTCTGCTGGGAATCTGCCTGCCCAGCGAGGGTTCGCCTCTCGTCGTGTTGCCTTACATGAAGCACGGAGATCTGCGCAACTTTATCAGAGATGAAAGTCATGTACGTGAAGGCAGCAAATCCAGTAACTTTAATCTTCACCCCAAATTGAAAATTGGCTGTTCATTTAGGCTCTCAGGCAATCTCAGCTGACTATTTTCACCCGTACAACATTAAAGGAGATTTTTAGCTGAAATTGTGATAAAAAAATTTAAGACAATGGCTACCGGCACTTTGACAGTCAGAAAAACAAATACAGGTGACAAAAATAATGCTGCTGATAATATATATAAGTTTGATATAACATAAGTTTGCTTATGCTGGAAAAGTAAGATTGCTATAGGGAGATCTAATATTTAAACTACATCATCCACAGTCGATAAATAGGTAAAAATGAATAATGTGGCAAGTAAGGTAATTAAGGTAATAATATGTTAAAAATACTTTTGCTTCATACTACCTCTGTATATCATAAAGAGAAAGTGCTTGTAGCCACTGACTTTTCATTTTATGATTCACTAAGGATGATGAGTTCTGTTAAACTCAGTGATGCTCCAGATTTTTTGCCCATCAAATATTATTTGCTGAACATTAAATAAACAGCTGAAAATATTAAACGAAAAAGGCCAGCTATATATAACCCATACATTTTATTGGCTGTGCAAGTGTGCTTTGTTTCTGCACAAACTAAAGCTCAAGCGCAGTGGAAAAGCATCAACTAGCCCAATATTCAGATCATTTACATGTATATTTATCTATGCATGAACCACAATCGCTCCCCGGAAAAGAAAAGTCTGCTCAAATATCATGCAGACAGGACATTTCTATTTAGTATACTTGTCCTTGCTACTGTGCTGTCACAGCAATGCTCTTGACCTCATAGCCCACAAATGACACCTCCTAACTCGTTCACTGTCAGTGTAAATTTTTATTACTAATAAAATGTGGTTATTTTATTGGCTTGTGTGTTTTAAAAATCTGTAAAGTTTAAAGGATTGAGTTCAAGTTTAAAAGTCTTATAAAATGACTTTAAATGGAAAGTTTAATTTTTGAGTAAACTATCCCTTTAAGATTAGACAAAATGAGGGTCTGCATCAATCTTAAAAGTGATTATCAAATGATATGGTTATCTTGGAAGGGCAGAGTGAATTTGTGATACTTTAGGGGATTTCTCTCTGAGACTGTCGTTTCAGACAGGTCTGTGATTATTAAAATACAAAACAATGCAACAATATCTTGTGTTGAAGGGTTTTGTTGTTTTGATCGTGATTGTTTTTCAATGGCGGGTTTGTTTTCTTTCCCACAGAACCCCACAGTGAAGGACCTGATGGGTTTCGGGCTGCAGGTGGCTAAAGGAATGGAGTATCTCGCCAGCAAGAAATTTGTTCACCGAGACCTCGCGGCCAGAAACTGCATGTGAGTTTTTCAACTTATTGACATTAGTTAGACATTAGTGTTGTACACTATATGCAGGGCACTCATGCATGCATTTTTCATGTTTATTCTACTGTTTAACCTAATGTAAACATTGCTAACATTTCTTTCAGGCTGGATGAGAGCTACACAGTGAAGGTGGCAGATTTTGGCCTGGCCAGAGACGTGTATGATAAAGAATACTACAGCGTACACAACAAGCACGGAGTGAAGCTGCCTGTCAAATGGATGGCGTTAGAAAGCCTGCAGACACACAAGTTCACAACCAAATCGGATGTGGTGAGTATCAATAAAAAATAATATTTAAGAAATTTGTAATGGCGTCCTTAACAACAAAAAACTTGCATTGTTTTGTGTTTTTTGGCTAAAATATCAGCTCTTATAGTCGAGAAATAGAAGATTCTCATCTGAGAAATGATTTCTTTAACATTTAAAAGATATATATGATGTTAGCCTGCATCAGTGTTTCTCAACCACATTCCTGGAGAACCACCAAGACTACCTGTTTAGGATGTCTTGTTTGTACGTCACAACCATTACAGGTCTTTTAGTCTCTGCTAATGAGCTGATGATCTGAATCAGGTGTGCTTGGTTAAGGATACATGGAAAATGTACAGAGCTGGTGGTCCTCCAGGAATATGGTTGAGAAACAGTGGCCTAGACAATAGATCCAAATGTACAAATGTTCGTCCATTCGTTCGTTCATTTATGCATTCATTCATTCATTCATTCATTCATTCATTCATTCATTCATTCATTCATTCATTCATTCTTTTAGCTTAGTCTCTCATTTATTAGGGGTCGCCACAGCAGAGTGAACTGCCCTTTTCATGTATTATTCAAAAAATTGTACATTTTGGGGGATGAGAAGCATATTTAAATGATCAAAACAAGCATTTGGGGACATTATAAAATACACATTTAAATGGAATGTGTTTAGAAATCGGATGCACATTAGAGGATGATTTTGAGGGTTTGAGTGAAATATAAACTTATATTAATCATTAAATAAAATATTTTTAGCATTTAAAGCTTGTTTAAATTATCAAAATGAACATTTTGGGACATAATAAGCATGTATAAATGATCCAGATGAGCATTATTTTGAGTTTTTAAGCATTATAACCACAATGAACAATTGACCAAATCATTTCAATTATCAATATGACATCATTAAATTTAGAATGTTAAAATATATTTAGCACATTTAAATAGAACATTTTGGCGCAGTGGATAGCGCTGTCGCCTCACAGCAAGAAGGTTGCTGGTTCGAGCCCTGGCTGGGTCAGTTGGCATTTCTGGGATAACAACCCATTTCATAAAAACTCAATGTTACAAAACACCAACATGGTGCAGCTAAATATCAACTTTGATATTAATGGCCCTGTGAGTAAGTAAATAGAATTTTTTAGCATTCAAGTGGACCATAAGCACAATTATGTATATCTCAGATGGCAACAGGCTTGTTTTTTCTTCTTTTGCAGATTCTAAAAGTTTGCATACATACATACCTACACATACATATTGTTTCAAGAAATGTCTTCATTTAGTTAAAATAGTAAAACTGAGTTAAATGGTGTAATATGTATGTTACACCTATATGTGGCACTGTAAACAAAAACAGCCAGAACCACAGGATAGAATAAAATCACAGATTTTAATTATAGAATGCAATGAGTTTGCGCATGTCATCATTTACAAAAAGTGTCGTTCTTTCCTTTTTTATCTACACGGCTATCCAGGAACATTCCTCACTTTGTGACCTGTTATCCAAAAAGTTTGTTCAAGGACATCAACAATGCCAGTGTCCTGTGGATGAAAGCTGAAACTTTATTAAACTTTTGCAGATTGACCAAATTCCATTGCCATGTGGATGGGGTGTACATGATTAAAACAAATGTATTTGTGTCTCATTTGTTCATTTGAATGTTAAGATCAAATGTTTTTAAGCATTTCTAAATCCTCAGACATCAAATATTAGCATCATATGCAGACTATGTAAGCTTACAATGTGCAATACACTGCTGTGAAATTTTTGTTTGGTCTATTTCCAACTTTTGCGCTGCCAATATTTGAAAATCCCACCTGTGATTAAACCTCTAGTGGTCTCTGGGTCACTTTGACAATATTTGCACAGAATAGTTCTTTATCACACAGACTCATGCGTGCACACACATGTCTGACTCAAGGTGTGTCCTGACTCATGTCCTGTTTTCTAACCTACCTGCACTTCAAATCCAATGGATGACTACACACATGCACGCTTCTGAGGAAATTTATTTCTCAACATTTCCCAAACACTGCCTTGACTGTACCCTTAAATGGATTTACGACTGCTTTTCCCCCTTTTCCCTTCTTTGTTGGCCTCCCTCAACTGACGGTGTTTGAGCTTTGTTTTGATAGCTGCTCACAACTCATTTCTGTGAATTTGATCTTCACGCAGTGGTCGTTTGGTGTTTTGCTGTGGGAACTGATGACCCGAGGTGCTCCGCCATACTCTGATGTGAACTCCTTCGACATTACAGTGTTTCTTCTGCAAGGCCGGAGACTGTTACAACCAGAGTTCTGCCCGGATGCACTGTAAGAGCACACATGAGCACGCTTACATGATCAAAGCGAACATGCTGGAGCATCAAAAACACGTTTAAATGAGCCAATCAAGCATTTTGAGAAACGAATCTGAGCATTTTTGGGGATCATAAGAAGCACGTTTCAGTGATCAAAAGTGAGCATGCCTGGGCATCAAAGCATGATTAAATGAAGCAAAGCATTGATCTACAAAATTAAATTGAGCCTTTTTGGCATCATACACACATTTAAATGATCAAATGCAGCACATTTGGGCCTCCAAATCATATTTAAATAATCTAAACTAGTTTTTGGAACATCATGATGCATTCAAATGATCAAATCATGCATTTTTAGTCATCATAAGCATGTTTAAATGATGACATTTTGTGTTTTGGGGCATCAAACACATGTTTAAATAATCAAACCATACATAAACATGTTTAATTGGTCAAAGTAAGCTTTTGGGGGCGGAGTCACAACCACATTTTAATGAGGAAATCAAACATTCTTGGGTGTCATAAATATGCTTTAGTCATCAAGATTGTTTTTGAACATCATAAATATGTTTAAATGATTTAATTGAGTGCATCTTAATTTGCTTAAATAATCAAAGCAGCCATTTGTGGCATTTAACTGTAAACATGTTTAAATCTACACAATTCAATGCTTGTGAGAATTCGAAACATGATTCAGTGATAAAACTGAACATTTTGGCGTCTCCAAATGCCCATTTTAATAATGAAATCAAGCATTTGAGACATAATAACAATGTTTAACTTATCAAATAGAACATTTTTGACGCACCGAAGGCCAATTAAACATAAAATTATGCATTAATGGACATTATAAGCATTCTGAAATTATTGATTTGTGTCGTATAGGCATTTTAGCCCTGCTTAAATAATCTAATTAATCATTTATAAGCATTTTAAGCAATTTACATGAACAAATCTTAGATTTTTAGACACTACTGTATGTGCATATCAATAATTATGTGTTTTGGCCATCATATGAATATTGAAAAGAAACTAAACCTTTTGGACATCATAAACTTAAACATTTAATCAATTGGAGCACCGTTTAGCATCCAAAACATGTTCAAATGATCAAATCCTAAATTTTTGGGCATCATATGCACATTTAAATAGTCAGAGCTGTGCACAGACACACAAACCCATATGACACACACTTGGTCCTTCATTACGACCACACGGCACTCCAAAGGAAGAGTGTGCGTCAACACGAGCGTAAAACAGAGAGCCATTGTTAACCTCCCGCAGATGCAGTCAAGCAGTAGCAGTTCATCAAAACTCTTGGCCAACTCAGCTCTGCATGACTACCTGAACTTAACACACGTCCACTCCCCACCCTGACTCTATAATGTGAAGCAAACTCCAAAACCTCCAAACATTCTTCTAATATCCATATCCGAGGCTCTGAACACAGATATACTGTATGGGTCATCATCACTCCCTTTCCTCATGGACAGGACAATGAGCCGCTTCTCCCAGGTCTTCACGCTTCTGCTCAGTAGATTCTTGCTGGACAAACAATGGAAAGTTGTGATGAAAGTTTGCGCTTGGAAGTTATAAATTTTAAGGCTGAAGCTGCAAAAGCAAATAGCTGGGATGGGAGCGGAGAAATGAGACGGGTAATAGCACACTTGAGATTAAGCTCAAAGTTAAATGGAAATATAAGTGCACTACTGTTTCAAGGTTTTTGGTTGTTATGATAAGGAATATTTGTGGTACTGTTACAAATAACTGAAGCAGATAAATTACAAGTAACTGACGCAGATACTGTTAATAACAAGTGCAGTAACAGATGTCTATATACTGTAAATCTATATACTTTTTCTCCATTTTTCATGGCTGTGCTTCTTTGATGTGCAACATAGAACCTTTTATGTACAGTAGTTGTTTCTCTTTATGTTAAATACAATCTGTTTATAGGAAGTATTGAAATTTGATAAAAAGGTAAAAATATTCACAATATTTGCACAAAATACGAAGCAGCACGTTTCAACATTGATAATAATCAGAAATGTTTCTTGACTGTCAACATATTAGAAGAATTTTTGAAGGATCATGAGAAACAAAAAATTGAGCAATTTTGAATTTTTTTTTTGCCATCACAGGAATATGCTACATTTTAAAATATTTTAAAATAGAAAACATTTATCAAAGATGGTTCATTTAAGTGTTTAATTGTACATTGTTTTTACTGAATTATTAATCAAATAAACACAGCCTTTACTAGCTGAAAAAATGTCTTTCTTAAAATTAAAAATGATTAATAATCACTTTTTTAACAGAAATATTTTAATTTCTACTCTAAAACAAAGCTAAAATGCTGGGGAAAAACATAAAATAATATTAAACAAATTTGAATTTAATTCATATTTAAACAATTTTATTTATATTGAAAAAAATACCTAAATTTAAATACAAAACATATATATTGAAGTCAGAGGTGCCCAAACATTTTCTTATAAATGGCCAAAAATCAAACTTGATTTAGGATTGTGGGTCGATGGTAAATCTACCAAACCTGTATTTCATTAAAGTTGCCATGGGTAATTTCCTAATTTATTTCATAATAATTAAAAATAAATAGCGAAAATTTGAATTTACCCATATTAGCTAATGCATTTTATCTTTTTACCTCGTATAATTAATTTATTACAATATAAACAAATGATTCATATTAACACTATAGAGTCAAATGCTGTATACACTAGTCAAGTGACAATATTTGCATAAAAAACAAAAATTTAATTAATTTACAACATTTTAGGTTAGCTTTTTTTGAAGCTTAACAATAAAACCAACAAAAATATTATTCTGTCTATATAATCTATATCATTAAATGCCTGACCACACTTCGTTATTATTGTTCATTTATTTGTTTGCTGGAAATTAGAACTGAATTTAGAAATAGTTTTAATACAAATCTTTGCGCTTAATAAACAAAATTAAATATGTAATGGATGCCTTCAACAGAGTGCGTACAACACCGTTTTCTTATCCACAAAAGTAAAGGAGTAAAGAAAAGAGAAAGTAAAGAAGCCGAATGGAGGAGGCTCATTCTTTATCCTCGCGCTGTGGATGGTTTGCCTAACTGTTTTCTCTCTAGTGAAGCTTTCAGTTTTTCCACTAACAAAGTCCACCATGTAAATTGCAAATGCACCATGGCGTGACGCAACTGACTCTTAAAGGGAATGGGAGACAAGTCTCTGATTGGTTTAATGCACGTTATGCTCAAAACACACCCATTACTCATTAAGAGAATGAGCACAACCCTGTAAGACTATGCGCTGCTGCGCAAACTGTATTTTTCCATCCTTAAAATAGCAAAAGTGGATTCAGACAAACCCTTAATGCTTTTGCACCCTGCGCTTTAGACTTTGCACTTAGATTGTTAAAATAGAGCCCTTGTTGTGCTTGTGAACTATTACCTAAAATAATCCTGTAATTTTAAATCGTCTCGTCTTTGCCATGAAAATGAAACAATTAATGGCATTTTGGAATCATTTAACAAAATGTACTTGTATGTCAATGTTATCATCAATTTGCATTGTTCTACTAAGTTTCCCCACAAGGTGTCACTATTAAACATCAGCAACAAAACAAACATTATTTTCTTTTGACTCTATTTTTTTGCCTTTCTTTATAGCTATAATGTCATGATTGAGTGCTGGCACCCCAAACCCGAGCGTCGACCAACTTTCTCAGAACTAGTGTCTCGCATCTCCGCCATCTTCTCAAGCTTCAGCGGAGAGCACTACATCCTCCTGAACACCACCTACGTCAACATCGACAAAATGACACCCTACCCCTCTCTCATATCATCTCAGAGCAACCTCGACCGCGACTGCTGCACCTGAGACACCAAAAAAAAAAAAAAAAAAGAGACCATGAAAGACTCTGGACAGGCTTTCATCATTGAGGCAGGGGGGAGGAAAAGAGTGGCCCAAGGACACTGTGAAAGACTTAAAAGGCCCGAACACTCCCTTCATCATCGCTGTAAATAGATTATGATGATCCGTGACCTGTGGAGGAGCTTGAGATGGTCCTGTTCTCCTGGGACGGAGAGCCAAAGACTAACGGCCTCCTATTCGATGTGAGCGTCTGATCCAATTTTGCTCTAAGCGTGTTCTCTGGCGATAACTGAAAGTGCGATTTTATTTTCTGTGAAAAGTGTCGTAAATTGTTGTGCATGCCTTCGTACCATGAACTGAACGCTGCATAATGAGGAGATCAGGAGAACACCGGACACATATTTTTGTTGTTGTTTTTTATCCAGGCCGATATGAATGAAATGGTTTTGTTTACTGTGTTCAGATAAATCTTATCTGTTCGACATTTGGATCTTACTGCCGTAGTAGTTCTATATTTTTATATATATAATCTGTTTAAGTTTAGTGTCAAAGCAAACATTAAAGGCCTGCATGGAATATGCACAGGTTTTTTTTTTACACTGATTGGGTCATGAAATCTGTAAAATGAATTTGAGGTATGGTTTAAGTAAAGTAAAATGTAAAATGTTTGTTAATTTTTTTTTCTGTAATGGTCTGATAATATTTCTTCCAAATTTCAAGTTCAAATATGGTCATTTAGGGCATTTTTTGTCTCGGAAAAGGATGTTAGGTCACAATTCCAAATGTTTTCATTTAGCGATTGAACATCAGGGTCATCCCTTCAAATAGTACTTCGTTGAATGAAAATTTTTGAATTGGGTAAGCTAAATTGTCCTTATGTATGTTTAATAATGAATAATAAAAGAACTAATAAGATTAATAAAGGAAAAGCAAATCAATGAATGACTGAAAAGATCAAGATGTCCTCGCTGCTGTCTGTAATCACGATGACATACTGGACCAGGTTCAATTTGTAGTGGACATTGTACCGTCTACAAAGGTAACATCCATAGTACTGTAACTGTTGGGGTAGGGGGAGTTGTGTGCGATCCCTCATCACAAAGTGGAACTGGTCCAGTATGTCATCAAGCTGTGGGCTGCAGCGAGGACTGTCTTAAAAAGATGGCACCTTTTGAGTTATTTAAAGGTGCATTATGCAAGTTTTGATCACTCTGTTGATTCCTAAAGCACACTTGCAGCCAATTGCCAGTAAGGGGCGTGTCTACAAATGATAGGGGATAATAAAAAGGGGTGTGGTCTTGATAGTTTATGGGCATTTTTGTGTTAGTGCTTTCAAATTTCAACATTGTTTGGTAACATTCACAGGGGCTGTATCCGAAATCACCCTCTATACCCTCATTTACTATTTCCTACATGCGTCCACTAATATAGTCTACTTAATGAAGTGAATGAAAATAAGTGATTGAATTTGTTGCATGCTGTGCACTCACAGTTGAAAAAAGTCATCTCTGAGCGGATAAAACGTGTTACGTCAGTTGCGTCTTTTTCATTCTCTAATCAAATGAAAGCAGAGGCAGGGTTTCCGTTAAGGTGACTGCAGTGTTTGTGTTGTTACGACAACTACAGAGACTTTTAAGGGTGGAGGAAACACTAGTGGTTGCTGTTTTGAGTTATTCGGAGCTGTATGACTTCGCAAATCTTGAATATCACAATATTATTTAATATTACAATTATAACGATATCAACAGCAACACTCGCGTACAATACGCAGCTGATTCAGTTGTTGCTTAGTGACAAAAAAAGTGTGCCTTTTTTGTCAACAAAGAAGGCAGCGTGGTGCGGCTTGCGTTTTTGGAATGTACAAGCACGTTTAGTGTGATTGCCCCCAGTGGACGCCATCTTGTGGTCAAACCTGGAAATTCATTCAAACTCTCACAATGCATTATGGCTATACTCTTGCCGTTGAATATACATCGATTATGCAGTCCTTGTTGCAATGCATTGTGGGATTTAATAAGTGCACTTCAGAATGTTCATTATGGTTTCAGTACAAATGGCTGCTCCCTTAAATAAAGTGCAAAGTGTAGGTATAGTTAGCGATTTCAGATACAGCTAATGAAAAAAGAAGAATGCTCTAAATTAGAAAATTATTTTAAACATGGAAGAAATGTTATCAACAGTTTACAGACATTAAAATAAGCAAAACAGCATCATTAATAAAAAATAAAACAAAACATTGTGAAGGTTGTGTGAGATTTAGTGAAACCCAGACTCATTCAATGCAGGTCTTTGTGTTACTCTGTAGTGAAGATGACTATGAATGTGACTTGCCATAACGGACTACTGTATGATGTAAATAATGTGTCTCTCCGCCTTTATTGTCTGACTTGCTGTGTGATACATGTATATATCGCCTATAAAAACAGTACAACATAGACCAGATGTGCTTTTCCAGTCAAATGAGGTCAATCAGCATTTAGATTTTTTTATAAACAAGCAACAGTGATCATAAACCGGCTCAGTCTAAATTCGTTTTATATATATGATTAGGATTATACCATTTGACTTTCTTTGAGCCTCACACACTCTTCATGTTATTTTTATATGAAGATCCAACTCACAAATGGTACAAATGTCAAGATTTCTGTTGTCCCAGTCATGATAATAAAGTTTTATTACGTGTGTGTACTGTTGATGTGTCATATATGAAGTAAATTCATCCGCTCCCAAGTCTTCATCTCATATTGGCTCTGTGTGAACTTTGACCATGACCTTGGGATTACCCACAATGCTTTCTGCTCGACCCTTAGCCAATGCAGTCTAGACAGGCTTTTTAATTTCCTCTTTTATGGTCTGGTCTTGAAAAGAAGGGTAACACTACCTGCCTGAAAGGGGAGTACTTAGGCTGAATGAAACTTCCTATGATAGATATTAAGACTTAAAGGGATAGTTCACCCAAAAATGAAAAATCATCATTTACTAATGCTTTTCATGGTCAAAACCTATCTGAGATTCTTTCATTCTGTTATACATGATAAAAGATATTTTGACAAATACTGGGTGCAAGCAATCAACATTTATCAAAATGTCTTTTGTGGGGTTATTTGCTGAACAAAGAAACTCAAAAAGGTTTAAAACAACATGAGGGAGAGGAATTGACAAAGTAATCTTAGCTTTTAGGTGAACTATACCCTAAACACGTCATGTCACTTCCAGTTTTTTTGTGTGTTTTTTGTGCATTAAAGATGAAGTTGCTTTAAATAGGATGGCTTTAAGTGAACATGCAATGTTATCTTTTTTTTTATTTATGTTTGAATATTAAACTCAAATAAAATAAAAGCAGCACAAGAACGTGGCTAGCTTAGCTGGTTAGCTTAGCATAGCTTAGCTTTGATTAGCTCAGATTACTTGGTTTGCATACATTACATTTATTAATAAAGTATTTACAGTAATTTACATAACTTTCGTTCATGTGCATATGGACAGTTTTTTCTTTTTCATCTCATGCTTTGTAATAATTTTGAGTATTATAATCAGTGGTGTAAAGTAATAAATTACAAGTATTTGATTAGTTTTTCTCAGGTGTGTGTTTCTCAGGTGTTTTCAAATGTGTACTTTTACTTTCCCTTGAGTAAATTTACAGTGCTGTATCTGTAATTTTACTACACTATTTACCTTCAACCTGCAGTCACTACTTTATTTATTCTTGTCTCTGGGGATTAGAAAATTCAGTCCTGTGATTTCTGTCCAATCAAATATAAAAGGGAAATAGCCTCATAATGAATTTCCTCAAGACATGGGCATTTTATAATTGCAGCAAACTGTTTGGAAGCATTAAAAGTGTTCAAGAAGCTGTCCAAAATGTTAACACGCATTGACCCAGAGACTGTTTAGATGCATGTCATTGATGAGAAGATGACTTTACTGTTTACGGTTTGCTGTATAATGACCGAAATGGCCTTAAACACCCAGCAGACACAAGATGTCAACATGACATCTGATTGATGTTGTATCCCAACCTCATGGGGACATTGCATTATATTTGCAAATGAAAATTGGGTTGGCATCAGAACCCAATGTCAGGCTGACATCACTATCCAACCTAAAGTCAACCAAACATCAGCATCTAATGATGTTACAGCTTGACGTTGTGTGGATGTTACCACTATGACGTTTATCAAATGTTGGATTTTGTTTGCCATAGGCTACCTGAAGAATTCATGTCAGTATTTGACGTCAATATGACATTGGTTCAAGATGTTGGCTTGACATTGGATTTTGGTCACTTTCTAACACAACCTAAAATCAACCAAATATCAACATCATTTGTCGTCGTTATTGGACATTAAAGTAACGTTGTCCTTAGACACTGGCTAGACACTGAATTTTAGTCACCTGACATCACAACCTAAATCTAACCTAATATTAACATCTTATGATGTCGTGTGCCTACTGGGCAATAACTAAATGCACTACAGAATGTTACGTTTACACACACATCCACAAATTAATGCATCAGCTTTTCACAGCGTAATACTCTTGAGTATTTTTAAAAGAGTCTACTTTTTACTCATAATTTGAGTAATATTTACAACAGATACTTGCTCTACATTTTTAGGCAAGTAATGGTACTTTTACTTAAGTACGTTTTTTTCTGTACTTTTTCCACCACTGATAATAATGCAAACAGTATGATTTTGGGGGACATTTTTTGTAAATGGTTATATTTCACCATCTTTTCTCTTCATAAATCTATTTTACACTAGGTACAAAATGTTTAGGCTACACTCAGGACCTTCTGGTAAAACAAAAAACAAAGTCCCCACTGAAACCCAATAAAACAGCAATATTTTATCTGCAATGTGTTTTACAGTCTTTGTTAAAAACCACATAGCAAAATTTCTCTGGCCCACACATTTAGGTTTTGCTTGGCCCACATGCTGCAGTGAATTACGCTACAGTACATGACCAAATCTGCCTTCCAGACAAGGACCAAACATGGACTATACCTGGGTCAAGTCTCAGCCAAGTTAATAACTTATAACTGGCCAAACTGGGCCAGATTAGTTGGTGTGTCACGATTGCAATGAAATTAATAAACCCATGAAGCATTGCGTTTTTTTTTGTTTGTTTTTTGCACACTATGGACATGCTTTTTCTCAAAGCGACCTGATTGGTAGATTTTTCCTTAACTTAAAAATAGTTTTAATGAATTTTAAATGTGGGTCAAGACAGGCCAAACTTACTTGGCCCACATATAATAGTTTTTAACATTTGGGCCAAATACTACATTTTAAATCTGGGCCAAACCTTGTATGCTGCCATAAAGATGATGCCTGCTGTGCCAGCTTTAGGCCAAATCTGGGCCAGAATTCTTGGGAAGGCTGTATGTTTAATATATGTTAAAAGGCTGTATATTATGTTTAATTGACAAAGCTTTGATATTTCATTCATTTACTCATTTTATTTTTGGCTTAGTGCCTTTATTAATCTGGGGTCGCCACAGTGGAATGAACCGCCAACTTATCCAGCAAATGTTTTACACAGCAGATTCCCTTCCAGCTGCAACCCGTCATACTGGGAAACATTCATACACAATCATTCATACACTTACACTAAAGACAATTTTAGCTTACCCAATTTACCTATACCACATGTCTTTGGACTAGTGGGAGAAACCGGAGCACCCAGAGGAAACCCACACGAACACAGGGAGAACATGCAAACTCGCACTGAATGCAGCTGACCCTGCTGAGGCTTGAACCAGTGACCTTCTTGCGATGAGCTTTGATACTTTTAACTTTTATATGTTTCAGCACAGCAGGCTAATATGTTTTTAAAACTCTTTGTGAGTTGAAATAGCAGGAAAAGATAAGAGTTTTGTATGTCTGTATAGTTTCCCGGTTTCCCTATATTTCGGTATTTAATTTATTTTGTTTTATCACTGCCCAAAAATAATGTTTTAAAATTAATTTGTCTCATGATTGACTTACCCAATAATAATACTAATAATAAAATACGTTCATACTCTTTTTTTATGTCATCATTTAAACAACATAGCTCATTTAAATATTAAAAATGCTTTAAAAGATAAAATTGTGATTGATACTGCAATCTGTATGTGAAAGTTTAAAAGTTTTATTATTTTTCTGCCTTTTTTAAATTACTTTTTATAAACAAAGGCTTAAAAAGTGTGCTTTCATTTCTGAACTTGGCTGTCCTCGTTTTTAGAGGACAAGCTCTGCATCCCTCCTCATAACTCAACACTAATTCATAAGCTAATGTGGAGGAGGATATGACACACTATGCGCTGTTATCAAAAAACTATTGTAAACCTCAGTGAGTTTGGGAAATGACTAGAGCGCCACCTAGTGGGTGAGAAGCCAATATGAGTGTAAATATAATAATACTGTAGCTGAACAATTTATAAAGAACTCATCATTTGAAAACTCATCAGAAAAAAACCCTAGTGTTGGGGGTTATTACAATATGTTTTAAACTTTTATGATCTTTGATATATTGTATGTAAATGAAGTTACTATATTATGGTTTCTCCTGATAAAGGGTTAAGTTGTTGATTTTCCTTGTTCAACCACTTTTTAAAGCTTAAAACATTTAATGGCATTTTTTTTGTTAAAATGTCTTTTCTTCATTAGTGAACTACCCATACAATTAGCCAAGTTAAACCAACAGGATTTTTTTTCTGGTTACTATTTTACAAACATAATTATTAACCTCACTGTTCACTTTCAGAAATAAAAAATCACTGAGGTAATATTTTCCAAAGGTAGATGAGACATTATCTGTGCCTGAAATTAAAACATTAATACAGTGAATAAAATGTATTTCATCTCAAAAAATTCTAAAATGCCCTGATGGTTGATTTCTGTGAGTTGTTCATTCCTTCATTCATTTTCTTTTTGGCTTAGTTCCTTTATTAATCTGGGGTCGCCACAGTGGAATGAACCGCCAACTTATCCAGCATATGTTTCACCAAGTGTTTGCCCTTCCAGCTGCCACCCACCTCTGGGAAACATTCTGTGAGTTTTTCTGTAAAGCAATATGTCAATTATTTGATTCACAAATTTAGTTTTCTTTACTAAAACACTTTACGAATGTACAAACCCTGTCATTGTCCTTGTCCTCAGCCCAATTGAATATACAGCTTTAATAGTTTTGCTTTACTAAAAACTGTTTTTTAGAAAAAAAAATGGCAAAAGTAGCAAGTTTAAGTTTTTGTGATTATTCACAACAATCAATTTAAAACATAAAATTATAACAATTCTAAACAAATATATAATACGTATACATTTACATTTGTCAAGCCTATCACATTTGCATTAAATAAAAAAAATAATAATTGGTGCCATACGCATTTAAGATCAAGGACGACTTCTGTCATTAAATTGATTGATTTTATGCTTGTTTTAATATGATTTTTTTTTATTTTTTTTTATTTTTTTTTTGAGGACAACAAGCTTAAGTCAAACCCTGTCACCTATTTTATAAGTGAAAATGTACATGTCTGGTAGAATGTCCCACATCATACAAGTGGAAATTAGTACCTTTAGGGCACACTTTTTTTTATCATTTTAAGCTTCACTATTGTACCTTTAAGGTACTATGAGGTACACATTTGTATTTTTTAGGTATTGGTTTACTTTAAGGATTTGTTAGGACTAAAACAT